CTGGTGCCTGGGCTGGGGTGGATGGCCACTAGCAGTCCCAGCTGCTCCGCAGTGCGCTGGTGGGTCCACAGCTCTCGCAAGCCCTCAGCACTGCAGGGATCCTCTTCAGGCTCCAGCCCCAGCAGCAGGCAGGAGGCATCTGGCTCTTCCAGCGGCTCCCCAGTTTGTATCCATCTTGTCCTGCCCCTCTGCTCCTCAGCACACTGAGAACAGGCGTGAGGAGGGAACGTTTCCGTGAGGCCACAGTGCGAAGTACGCTATAAGGTGCCTCATCCGTGGTGCCAGCTGAGCAGGACTCAGTCCGGTGCTGGAAGCACAGTGGAAGACTGAGCATTCATCATGCCATGTAAATCTGGAGCGGGAGCTTACCCCTTCCTGTGGTTCCTTAACGCTGGTTAGTCTAGAGCTGGTGGGCTCCTCCAGTTCCCTGGTGGAGGAGAAAGAGCGCCAAGGACCTGAAGAGCCTGTATTTGAGGCAGAGTCTATTCTCCTTCCTGAGGTCACTGAAGGGAACAGAGTGTGTCACAGATTTTGCAGTCGCAGATAATAAATCAGAAGGGACCACAATGATTCTGACCTCCTGCACGACACAGGTCCACGGGACCTCCCGCTGCTGGAACCTGAGCAGAGCAGTTATATCTGCTAGCCTATCCTGATTTACACATTGCTGGGAATGGAGATGCCATCACAAGGCTTGTAAATTGCTCCAAAGGTTAATTACCTTTGCTGTTCAAGAAATCCACAGTATTTCCAGTGTGAATCCCTCCAGCTCCAACTTCCAACCCCGGCATTGTGCTATGCCTTTGTCTGCCAGACTGAAGAGCCCATTATCAATGTTTTTGTTCCCCGTGTAGGTATTTATGAGCTGTAAATCGAGTCAGCTTGTAACCTTCTCTTTGTGAAACCGAACGGAGCGAGTGCCTCCGCTCCTGCACTGCGCAGTATGTGAATGGGAAGAGAACCTCACTGAAGAAGCTGTCTCACGCTTCTCAGTGCAGAGTTAAGAGTTACTGCGGCATTTGCTTTCTGATGTGGTTTCTCACTTTCTCTTTTGTGTTCAAGGTCTGCCCTTCCCCTGACTGATAATTTCTTTTGTATAAAACACTTAATGCGCACACACAAAATCATCTGTAATTCCCCTTCCCCCACCTTGTGTCTGCTACTTAGCCATCACCTCTTACAGGATGACCACCTTAAAGCAGGCTACTTCAAGGTGGGAGGGAGTTCTCCAGGTAGAGGAGAAGCAGATACAGGAGTCTTGAGGGAAGTGGGTGTTGTGTTTGGGGCTTTCTTGCTGTGTGCTGAGCTTGGGTTTGTGAGTGAGGGTTGGCTAAAAGATGCCTAAGGGCAGAGATAGGGTCCAGAATGACTTAGACAAATTGGAGGATTGGGCCACAAGAAATCTGATGAGGTTCAACAAGGACAAGTGTAGAGTCCTGCACTTGGGACGGAAGAATCCCAAGCATAGTTACAAGCTGGGGACCAACCGGTTAAGTAGTAGTTCTGCAGAAAAGGACCTGGGGGTTACAGTGGATGAGAAGCTAGATATGAGTCAACAGTGTGCCCTTGTAGCCAAGAAGGCTAATGAAGGAGAAGCAGATACAGGACTCTTGAGGGAAGTGTTTTGTTATTGGGGCTTTCTTGCTGTGTGCTGAGCTGTGTGCATTAAGAGGAGCATTGCCAGCAGATCCAGAGATGTCATTATTCCCCTTTATTCGGCTTTGGTGAGGCCACATCTGGAGTATTGTGTCTAGTTCTGGGCCCCCCACTACAAAAAGGATGCGGACGCATTGGAGAGGGTCCAGCGGAGGGCAACCAAAATGATTAGGGGGCTGGAGCATATGACTTATGAGGAGAGGCTGAGGGACTTGGGTCTGTTTAGTCTGCAGAAGCGAAGAGTGAGGGGGGACTTGATAGCAGCCTTCAACTTCCTGAAGGGAGGTTCCAAAGAGGATGGAGAAAGGCTGTTCTCAGTAGTGACAGATGGCAGAACAAGGAGCAATGGTCTCAAGTTGTGGTGGGAGAGGTCCAGGTTGGATATTAGGAAAAACTATTTCACTAGGAGGGTGGTGAAGCACTGGAATGGGTTACCTAGGGAAGTAGTGGAGTCTTTATCCCTAGAAGTGTTTAAGTCTCGGCTTGACAAAGCCCTGGCCGGGTTGATTTAGTTGGGATTGGTCCTGCGTAGAGCAGGGGGCTGGACTTGATGACCTTCTGAGGTCTCTTCCAGTTCTATGATTCTATGTGAACAGTCCGTCAGTTGGGGTGTGTCTAGACTACAGGGTTTTGTTGACAAAAGTGGACTTTTGTTGACAAAACTATACCTGAGTCTACACTTCCACCGAGAACACGGCAGTTTTGTCAACAATGGTAAACCACATTCTATGAGAAATAATGCCTTTTTTCAACAGTTATGTCGAAAAAAGGTGCTATTGCATCCACACTGTGCTTTTTCAAAAGAAAGCGTCTAGACTCTGTCGAAAAAGCGGCTTGCTTTGTTGACAGAACTGGCTGTAGTCTACACACTCTTTTTCGACAGAGGCTTTGTGGACAAAAGCCTGTAGTCTAGACGTACCTTTGCAGAGCCAGAAAGAGAAGCCAGGGGACAGAGAGGCTACGTCTACACTCCAATGCTATTTCAGGATACCAGAGTATCCCGAAATAGCAATCCCACATCTTCACAGCAAGCCCGTTATTTCAGGCTCACTATTCTGGTATCCCTGTAAACCTCATTCTATGAGGAGTAAAGGAGGTTTTGGAATAGTGCTTTATTTTGACAGCGCCAAGTGACTAAATAAGTTATTTTGAAATAGTATTGAAATAATATATGCAATTTGCATAGCTCAATGTAGACACACCCAGACTGACCCCAAACCTCCCAGCTTACACGAGTCCCCAGTAGGAATCCAGCTGGTTCTTTTAGCTCTGCAGCACCGGCTTTAGGGAGCAGCCTAAAGTTGTAGGGAGCATGTTGGGGTTTGGGAGTGGGTGGCACTGTACAGTCTAGCTCCACATGTTATTTTCAAATTAGATAGAGACAAGAGCTTTTGGACACTAGTCTGAACTGAACCTCTTCATATTTCACCCATCACTTCATCTAAATCCCTATGAAAACATTAATGGCAAAAAGGGCATATAAAATGGAAGATTTAAATGTAGTGACCATTTCTATGCTGTACAAAGAGGGAAAAGTTAAAGAAATAAAGATATAAACTTTCAGGAAACCCAATATTGTGTTTGAGGCAAATATACGGAGCTGGAAGATGGTCCCTTAGAGATCAGAGCCTGCTAGCACAGGAGCAGGTTAGGGCATCTAGATTCTAACCTGAGACAGGAAGAGAATTCAGGAAGTCATGGCCGTCACACCTCCCGCTCTTTCTTCAAACATCCACAACTCCACAGAATCCCCAAGATGTGCATACGCCCAACCCGCACAGTCACGGGATCTTAATGTCATTCACCTTTGTCTATCCTCTCTCATCCTTCACTTGCATTGAATCTCAGATGTAGATGGGGAGTTCTTCTGTCTCTAGGTCTTCTGTGAAGTTCCTAGCATGGTCTGGGTGCTAAGAGAAGGGTAGAGGTTATTGCTGGTTGCGGTAGAAATGGCAGAAAGAGACATGGCAAAAGAAAGGGAAATTGTGCTACCCGAGTCCCTAAATAGAAGCCTGCTGAAACTGAGTTGATTCGGCAAGCTAACATCTTTCTGTCTTTCTTTTTTAGTCTTTCCTCTGCAAGTAGTTTGGAGGAAACTCAATCCTTTGTTACGTGATGCACAGGGAGAGACAAGGGACAATATCAGTGAGTAGTGCTCAGAAAGGAGATAGTAGTTTTTTTTTTTGAGAACTAGCCCGATAGCAGGGTTCAAAGGAAGTTTGCAGAGAGTTTAAAGAATTCTCTTGTGATCAAACTAAAAGAAAAATCATTTTCATACCACTGTTCCCCTCAAGACTTCTGCCTTTTTTGAAATCCCTGGGTCTGGGATTACTGCTTCATTATTTACTTGGGGAGGTACCTCTTCAACCTGGAAGGGATTGTTTTCAAGCACTAAGCAGCAGCCTGCTCCATTTAAGGTGGTGCAAGATCAGGCGCATTTTCAATTAGAGTGGGCTTTGATACTAGAAACCAATTTCCCTCTGTGCTCTCTCTTTCACTGTGACTAGGCAATAAAAACAGGAATGGGATTGACAACCAATTCCTCAAAACTGAAGGATTTTGGCTCCCAAACTAGGGAGTTATTTCTTTCCTGTGAGGCTGTCAGATAATACACCATTAAAAACACCTGCATTTGCCAAGAGTTGCCATATGGTGCTATTGGAGGCATCCCAGTTTCCTTTAACTTAAGATGGGAACTAACTCTACTGTCTCAAAGAGCACTGTTGGTAAATGCTGACTGTTTCAATGGCAGCCATTGTAGCGTTTGCCAGGTCCTGCCACATAAGAATGATGTGAATTGGCTCTAGTAAATTTAAACCAACAACAAAAATGTCTCCCAAAGCTGAAACGGAACCTTTTCCCATGTTTTAGAAGAACTTGAAAATGTAAAAATAAACATGTCCTTCAACAGCTCTGAAGGTGTTTGTGCTAGAACTTGGTACATTAGCTGAAACAATGTCAGGGCTGCTTTGACCTGACAGTCCATCCTTGGAAAGGAGATTTATAAAAAGGCCCTGATTCAATTTCCATTGACTTCAGTGGGTGATGGATGGGTTGGAGCTGGGGTTTCAAGCACAGCTTTACATACTCCACATGTTTATTCAAATTAGATAGAGATAAGTTTTCCAAGCACTAGTCTGAAAGGAATCTCCTCATATTTCACCCATCACTTCATGTAAATCCCTATGAAAACATTAATGGCAAAAAGGGCATATAAAATGGAAGATTTAAACGTAGTGACCATTTCTATGCTGTACGAAGAGGGAAAAGTTAAAAAAATAAAGATATAAACTTTCAGGAAACCCAATATTGTATTTGAGGCAAATATACCGAGGCCTCTCACTTTTGAAACAAAGTTTTTTCTTCTTTTCTGTGTGATTCTTTTTTAAAAGAATAATGTTTTAAAACCTAATTTTAATGTAAAAACGTATTTTAAAAGGGTTGATCATGTCACTGCGGCCAGTAGCAAACTCCGATTGACTAAAATGATGCAAAATCAGGTCCACAGATATGGGTTGGGATATGTAAATTTCATCATATAGATGCATAAATGATCGTGTGAAAAAAAAATTGCTGGTACCCAAGTAGAGCCCAGATTGAGAATCCTTAGTAAATTTGATCCTCAGTATCAGTCATCCTTTGTAGGGTCAGACCTGTGTACAAGTATTACTCTTACTTGTAATGAGCTTTCAGGGGCCAGACCCACTTCCTGAGATCAAATTGATCTGAGGAAGTGGGTCTGGCCCACGAAAGCTCATCACCTAATAAACCATCTTGTTAGTCTTTAAAGTGCTGCATAGTCCTGTCTTTTGTTTCAGCAAGATCAGACTAACATGGCTACATCTCTATTACTATTCTTACTTGTAAGGTGGCTATTGTTACTACTTGTACTATGACCATGTATTAAACCAAGAACTATCTATTCGCAGATCTAAAAGGGCAGGAAAAAAATGAAAAGAAAACTATAGTGTGTGTCTTGTAGTCCTCAGTGGCTCTCACAAAAGAGGATTTTAATGGCCCATATTCTATATCCCCCTCCCCCTGATTTTCCAAAGGTGAGCAAATTCACTTGTTTAATTTAATCTGACTGTAGCAAGCCCTATGACAAGTCTGTGAACTGAATGAGGTAAGGATCCTGGGGGGGAAGTGGTATGTGATCACCCAAGTGTCTACGATCACACTGCCCAGGAAGGAGAATGCTTCCTTTGGGAGCAAATACCAACCCTGATTCCTACCATAATAGGAGATGCTGCATTTTGAAGATGCTGTACTTTTGTTCTATTCAAAAAAGAGTTCTGATCTTTGTAGTCTGAACATCTTCCACTATTGTCAGAAGCAAAGTAAGTAACATTTGTCATATGTTTATTTTACTTCCCCTCTCTGGGGAAAAAAGTACATGCATTGGAGTTTAAGCACCTCATAGGTGAAGCAGAAGGTGCTAATATTTGTAAGGATTTTTGTTCTATGGGGAATTCATTCAAGGGATTTAAATGGCCCTGAGAAAGCTCTGTCTCCAGGCCATATGAGGTTTACTTTTACTTTAAAAAATTCTGTAGTGCTAGAGGAGAATTCTCCATAAGAAAGCTTAAGTTAAGCTTTGATACCCTGGGATTAGGCCATTGAGCACCTTGAAGAAAAGGATGGAGAGAGAGCCGGCACTTGATTCAGTATTCTATGAAACACCAATGTAGAGAACAGAAGACTGGATTGGTGGGTTGGTGATAACCCATGTTACTGAGTAGATGTGCTTCAGTGTTCTGTACCAGCAGGAGTTTCCCCAAGCACTGCTAGCACATGCCTGGGAGTTGAGAGCATTTCTATAGTCCAGCAGAGAGATGACAAAGGCATGAATAACTCCAGGGTGCATGAAAAATAGCATTCTTTTCCCATGTTACAGCTCTGTCTGGGGAAACAGTACATTCATAAAGAATGGTCTCCCAAAGCAAGTTGAAAGGTTAGTGTGGGAGATAAATGTCTGTACACAAAATGGAAAGAAAGCAGATCCAGAAATGGTTAGGTGGATGAGGTGGAGGTGAAGGTGAATGAGAAAGGGAGAAGAAGAGTAAACCCCTAGGATGAAGTTTAAAGCTAGTCAAAATGAGATTTTATTTTATATGAAAAAAAAATCTTTTAAATCCAAACTTGAACAATTTCAACCAGCTATAATATAATTATTTTAAAAGAACTTAGTAGTAACTGCTGCAAGTGCTCAGTGCCTATAAGAGGAAGAAAATCTTGCACATAGATTAAAAAACTTGAATTGTAACTCTTTTTGATGTGACAAATGTGTACAATTTATTGATGACGGAATTGAGAGCAAAGTTTGTTTTGTCAAATTCATCTTTCGAGCCAGCACTGTATTTCATTTTATTGCCTAAATGAGCCAGAAGAAGGGATTTTATATTATATTGTTATGGTTTTTGTGTGTCTCCTGTATTGTTGTTAGAGGTCTATAAATAAAAAATGAATGGAATCAGAGCAACCCCTTATATATTCAGGGTGGTTATCATAAATGTTATGGGAAATTTTGTAAGATATCAATCATGTTAGTTTTCTGTGTTCATAATTATGGCAAGTGTTGTAAGCTGATTAACTTCCACATCTGCCTTCAATAAAACAATATCTATATTTGAAATTAAATTCCAGTAGCTGTCAGGGGCCATTTCATAAAAAGGAAAAATAGTGACTGAATTGATTTCCCCCTACATAAATCAAATCATGTACAGCTGGATGTCCATATAGACAGTCTGTTATAGTGACCTGTTCACCAAGGAATTAAGAGCGAATTAACAAACCTTCCTATTGTCGCTGCCGGAGAAGGCGCATAAACCCACTGTCATTTGTTCATAAGGGTACAGTCCTTCCTAAGTCAATAAGTCTGTGGGAACTGATTTAAGTCCTATGTTCTGGATGTTGCGGAGTGGATATTACATAAATACTTCCCATGAATTAATACTAGAGTATTTGAATGAAGTTTTGGCAGGCAGGATCACACTCCTGTGTTCACTCTCCACAAGCATTCCAGAGAATATTTACTGTCACAAATGGCTGTAAAACCCAACTTCAGAAAATCACATGCCTAAGTATTTAACAAAACCAAGCTGTAAGTTTGTAACACACAGCTCTTTGTGCCAGTAGCTACTCACCAATCAAGGAACAGAACCAATCCCCTGTGTGACCAATCATAGCTAAAAAGTTTAAATTTAGAATAGCAAATGCTTATTCAGGACTTGAGTCTACAAACACATATGCACATGCTGGTTGAAGTCACTGGGACTATGCCAGTGTTTATGTAATAGTCACAGGCTACGGGCCTGTTACTATCACTTCATATAATAAAATAATTATTTTTAAAATGATAGAACTATGACTATACTTGAGGAAAGTGTGATCTGCTCACAAATGTACCACAAGCAGAAAAATCAGTTCACTTTTTTGTACATGCTATTGATTGGGAATTATTTGTTCAGCTTTTGATGTGGATGAAAAAATAAGATTTACATTGGTTGCAAATTGTGCAGCGCTGTGATGTTCAGAAGTCATGGCTGAAAGTGGGGGACTGAAAGGGAGCTGTTTCCATGCAGCTGAACTGAGATAATTTAGAATGGGATCCCTTGGACATAATCTTGTTCAGAACAAGTGCCCAGAGGGAATAAAAGCGTAGAATTTGCAGAGCATATAGAAAGACGAAAAAGACAAAAGAATAAAGTTAACGGCACAGCTTCAAACATAAAGATATAGCTATGGGGTTCAGGTCGAGTTTGGGTGAAAGGTTGAGTCACATCCCATTTTACCTGAACCATTTTGCTCATCGCTTATTTAAAGGAATTCCAACAAAGAGCTCGGTAAATGACCCATGGAATTGAATATGTTTCACTGTGATTTTTGTTTTCTGTCAAGGCTGGTCAGCTTTAAAAGCACACTTTGAAGCAGCTTTTAATGGTCTGCTTGTTTTTCAGAAGGGTTCTGAGAGCAGGCAGACAAGGAGAGAAATTGACTGGAACGTGAGAAAAAAGTACACTCATCTTCTTAAACCCATGTAAGGCTGTAATTCATTTGTGGTGCTGAGGGCCAGCTAAGAACTATCAATTTTAGGTACTCACAAGCTGCCATGGTATGAGGGTGCCTTCCAGTCTTCATTGTATTTATCCTCACAGCATTCCTCTGAGGTAAGGAAGTGTTGCTGTTTACATTCTACA